TTCATACATCACCTTCCTTTGAAGTGGACCTAAAGCTTCACATTTTAGGAGAAGCCGCTTGTATCTTCCAAGAAAAGCATGAAGGTTTCATTAAGGAAAATGATCCCCAGGTACGCCTAGAGAAATTAAAACCGCAATATTTCTCCATTTTCAGAAATCATTATCTGGAAAGAGATGCACAACAAAACCGGGCTAAGGATTTCTGTGACCAGTGCCTCCATCCTGCCTTGGTGGACTATGTTAACAAAAGACTTGGGATAGAAATAGTGTCAATATTTCTCCATTTTCAGAAATCATTATCTGGAAAGAGATGCACAACAAAACCGGGCTAAGGATTTCTGTGACCAGTGCCTCCATCCTGCCTTGATGGACTATGTTAACAAAAGACTTGGGATAGAAATAGTGGATGACATTCTCAGCAGCACACAGTCTATTGGATATGCCAGTCGGAGCTTCTTCCAGTTTACAGTTCTGAAGGAGCTGCTGGAAGAGAGAAACGTCAACAACTATGTGGAATATAACACATCCTATGAAACGTTTGTGAAGAGCTGGATCATGAGACAAATACTGGGGCACTATGCAGACAAGAATAATTTGAAGAACCTGGAGAAGGACATTCTCTCTGCTATAGTAAAGAAAATTAGGGAAATGCTAGAGAACATGAAACACAAATGTTTTAAGAAAATCTCTGAATTTTTAGAATTTTTTTGCAAAGAAATGCAGAAGGAGCTGGTTATTTCTAAAGACAGCCTGGTGGGAATACAATTTAAAAATGTGACTGATCCTGGGCAATTTTCTGTCTGTGTTGAAAATTTTCTTCCTGATTTGGAAAAACGAATACTATCCGAGTTTGATGTCTTGAGTATTGAACTGAAACTCTCCAAACTGGCTGTGAAGCCCCAGGATGAGATCTTCAAGCGAGTGTTTGGCTGTGGGAAGCAGTGCCCCTTCTGCAAAACGCCCTGTGAGGCTGGAGGAAGTGCCCATAAGGAGCATTTTGCAGCTGTCCATCGCCCTGAAGGACTGGGAAGATTTAGATGGGACAAAACGGAAAAGCTTGTTAATGAATTGTGTTCCACTCTTGTGGTTTCCCAGTGCAGATTCAGAACTGCAGAGACCGAATGGGAATACCAACCATGCAAAAATTACCGGGTCTATTATCCAGACTGGTGCATCCAACCGGATCCCAGTATCAATGCTTCTGATTACTGGAAGTTTGTTTTTAAAGAGTTCAATCATGAATTTGCACATCAGTACGAAGCTAAGCAAGCAGACCTGCCAGAGGACTGGAAAAATATAACCCAGGAACAGGCATTGGAGGCTTTAAGGGAAACCTATAATATGGAGTAAGCACCACTACCTTGAAAGAGTATCATCTATAAAAACAGATTGAGTTTCATCAGAATTTGGCATTAGTGAAACAGTTGTTTAAGATTTCTGTAATTTCTCTGTGAAAATCAAGTGCTGTCTTCAGCTACTGTGAAATGATTCCACATGTTATTCAAGGTTACACGTGTAGGTTAGCAAAACAAGTATTTTTTAAATGTGTCAAATGATAAATTAAAAATGCCCTTCATTAAACCAGTGGTAAGTCAGCACCCCAATACCCATTCCTTATTTTCTAGTGAAGACTGGATAAGGGAAATGAACCTCCTCCCTATTGACAGCTGGTTTTGTTGCTCCCGAGACAACATGTAGAGAAAACGTGGACTTTTTTCTTGGACAACACAGAAAACAAAATTTAGATGGATCCCCTTGAAGGACTCTCAGTCTTAAAGTAATGTTGGTGTGCTTTGCCCAATGTCAAGTTGAGAAGCCAAGTTTTGAGCCTGTTCCTGGGGAATACTTTCAGCACAGCTGATGATCTACACCTCCCTACTCCCTGTGAGAGCTTCTATCTCTCCTGTCCTGTCCCCTTTCTCTTTTTCTCCCCATTCTTTGTCTTTCTTCCTGAGATCTGTGAATAATACAGGTACTTTCCCTGAACAGCAACTGCGCCGTGTTAACAAACTGCTTGGAGTTAGAAAAAGCAGCTTGCGATAGCCACAGTTCATGTGTGTGCAAGTTCATGCATTTGCTTGTAGTGTTCGTTGGACTTAACACTTTTTGTTAATTGTAAAAATAATGTTCTAACTACTGGTGCGTATACAAAAAAACCAGTTTTTTGGGGGGATCTTTTTTAAAATATTGGACTTTAGCAATTCTTGCATAACTGATTTTACTCTCTTTTCATATGCTGGACTGCATTGTTTTACTATCTGATGCAATGGATTAAAGTGAATAAATGGAATTACTGAAAATTTAAGTTTAATAGTAAAGGACTGGTTAATGATTACAATGCATCGTAAAAGCTTCCGAAGGAAAGGAGTGTTTGTGGATCATTTGTTTCGTGGCAGTTTAAGTTATTAGTTTTTTAAATCAGTAACCTTTTTAAAATGGAACCAACTTGACCAAAATCTGTCACAAATTGAGACCATTAAAACGAAGTTTAATGCAAAAAAAAAAAAGTTCTGCTTTTCCAGAGGAAAATAAAATCCAGTGGTTCTAACTGATTTCTCTGCAGAGGCATGGATACCTTCCTGTGTATCCTGTGAAGGTCATGAATCATCAAGGACGAGGCCTTTGATAGCCAAACCTTTCCAGTTCCATCATGCATGGAGCCTTCTTTTTCACAGAACGGCAACTCCATCATGATCTAGATGACCTTTTTCTTGGCAGGCTCATTCCAGGCAAAACATTTTTACAAGTAATACCAGTGCAGAGGGCCATTAAAAACCAGTGAGC